TTTCATGGGTTTTAATTTTTTTGCGCGGAATTGTAATGTTTTTTCTAAAATAAAATTAGCCTGTGTTACTCTTTATAACATCAGCTATCTGTCAGTGCCAGCTATAAGCCGGAATAAACAGATAGTAAGAAAAACATTTTAAAAATTGTTTTTGTCTTTTTGTTATAAATACCGTATATACTTTCATATGTATTTAGTAAAAGGCTGTTATTTTGATATGACAAATAGACACTTCAATGTATAGATTATACTACGTATTAATTAAAAAAGAAACATCATTTTCTATTTCATGTTGATTGCAACAATTCATATTGACATTTAAACAAATAAAATGGCTACCAGCATCTGTAATTTCCAGTACGGCGTAGACTGCACCAGCAGCTTTTCAAGGTACGAGAGCTAGCGCCTTTTGCTATATGAATATTAGTTGTGCCAGGTCAAATGGGACAAATATCGGGATGGAACGTAAAAATAATAGAGAATTTGGTTTATAAATCTAATGAAATAAAAATAAAAAGTAGGTTTTTTTTGTAGCCATTTTGACCGCCATGAGTTATGATAGTCTTTTTGATACACTGCGTAATTTTCTTTATAATTTTTTTTTGCCTGAATTAACCAACGAATAATTTATTGTCCATGCATCGTACACACTGCATATTCGTCTATGTAAATTTTTGTTTCCGTAAATCAGGATTTGTTGAACGATTAGTTCCAATTCCAATACATATTCTATTTATTTCAAAACTGATTTTTAATAATCTGTGGTTGTTCGTTATGGCATGACATAGTTTAGCGTGGCACATCACTGTCGAAGTGGGCGGTACCCATTCATGAAGTACAACAATAACTGTATGACAGTTTACCTAAAGAAATACAAAACTTCATGAGCGTGATCTGTCACCCGCACCGTGCTATAACGCAAAGACTATAGGTTTCACGGACCAGAATTTATTGGGTTTTCAGAATGGAGGCCTCAGCAAAGCATCCTCTAATGCAAGGAAAAGGATAGTCTGTATAAAGAATTGGGAGAAATTGAATTAATTATTGAATAGTGATAGTAGACCTAAGCTAAGATTTATAAAACGCTATTTACACAAAAATTTTAATACTTTCCTGGAAAACGTGACATCCATTCTTAAATTGCCTGTCATCGAGGTGTAACAACGGACTGAAATTTGCACGTGCTCTTGCTTCAACACTGACGTTATAATAGCAGTCATCTATTATTAAGTAAAGTAAAGTAAAGTTGCAGCCTATTTACGTCCCACTGCTGGGCACAGGCCTCCTCTCATTTCTGATAGGGTTTTAGGGCAAGGAAATCTCCACCGCACTGCCCCAGTGCGTGTTGGTGAACTTCACATGTCTTCGAAATATTTTTTTTTCTTATTTCTCAGACATGCAGGTTTCCTCACGATGTTTGCCTTCACCGCCAAGCACGTGGTAAATCAGCACTTAAAATTGCAATTAACAATTTCATTGGTGCCGGCGGGGATCGAACCCGGGTTGCTCGAGTACTGTGAAGCTTACAGCGAGCGCTAACCGTCTGAGCTACCACGGCTCCATTAATATTAGGTCACGGATCTATTATTATTAGATATTAATGCCTTAGTGGCAGCAAACATCCTCCAAGCGAAAAAAAAACGTTTTAGCATAATTATATATCGTTCACATAAAACGAAATAAAATTAACTCTTCAACGATTATTCTCACTCAACTATCTCACTGTAAAAATCCATGTGAAAACTTTTTCGAATGCAACAGCGTAAAGTTTAAATAAGTTACGTCTCAAGCGATTAAAATTGCCGCTCGCACTCGCTAATTACTTGAAACAACCAATCACTAGCGTTAACGTTCGACGACTTAATAAACCCGCACTCATGAAATGTGATTCCGATTATTGTCACTAATTGACGCTGTTTTCATTCCTTACAAATCTTAGTTAACGTACTTTTCATAAGATTTATACAACGTAAAGTTCAATTGTTTGTCTATTTTTTGAAGTAAAAACTTCTTTAGAATCGTTGTGTTTTGAAGCTCAATGAAACGAAAAAGCGACATTAAAAAGAGACAAACATATACATCTATAGGATTTAGCCTGCGAGAGAATGAGATAGAATATAAAGTAGTAAATGATAGTAGCCTAACAGCATAGTGCGGACCGCGAACACAATGCCCACAACGGGTTTGAATCAGCTATTCAAGTACTGTCGTGAAACACTCCTAAAACAAGCATTTTCAGCTTTTGCTTTTTGTTAGCGACGTGCTCAAAAATCGTTATACAAATTTGTATTAGCTTAAGGTGGCGGGTATGAGGGCCCAATCATCTCATATGTTTTAAATATTATATTAAATTTTAAGGTAGAAATCGAACGGTGACGCAGTCAGTCAGCCTTTACTATCGCTCGCGACACACGTACCTTCGCTCTCTCTCATATGCTTTTGTTCGTGTACCTACGTTGTGTCATTTAAAATAAACGGTTTTAACGAATTTTTGGTTTTCGAGTTTCCTACCATTTTTATCGCGCCAGTGCACCCTTTACAAAGTGGTCTTCGAACCGGATCTAATGTTCAGCACGCCGCCTGCAAAAATGGTAAAACTCGAAGCACTGCACGCAAGGAGCTCGAGAGCAAAGAGCGTCCTCTTTGCTCTCAAAAATCAGGAAGTCCAGTTACAAGTGCAGCCACAGCCAACTGATGGAAATACACAGAAGGATAAACAGACACCGACCGCTAGCCAACTATATGATGTTGCGGGTAGCAGCGTCAAGCGCGAGTACCGCTTGCAACAGCCGCCCGCTTCGCACACCGGCGCTAAGTCAACGTCCACATCGTCCTCTCTGATGGCCAGGAGAAAGAAACTGGAACTAGAGATGGCTAAAGAAAAGGCTAAAATTCAAATGGATCTCATCGATAAGCAGTTTCAGGCGGATTTAGCAGACCTTATGGATGAAAAAGAGGAAATATACAGTCCACATAGTGACCCGCACGACGACACCAAGAATAAGAAAGTGGAGCAATGGTTAGAACAAAGCCAGCTCGAGCGCGAACCCCCGTTGCACGCTCCAGAGTTCGGTGATCAGCCGGGCAAGCAGCGTCCGCCGACGGCACCCGTTGCCAGCTCATGTGACGGAACGGTTCATATGCTCGCGAGCGCACTACAGAATCTATCCTCGATCTCTGCAAATAATGGGACAAACAACAACCTGCTTAGTCGCATGTGTACCCCCCGGGACCTACCTAGTTACTCAGGGGACTCGTTGGAATGGCTCCAGTTCAAGCAGGCTTATGACGAGTCTACCGAAGTGTGCGGGTTTAGCCCGAAGGAAAATTTATGGCGTTTAAGGAAGTGTCTTCACGGGCCAGCTAAGGAAGCAGTCTCAGCTCTCATGATAAGTGCTACATCACCCGACGTAGTGATAAAAACTTTAGAGCTACTATACGGTAACGCAGACACCATTCTAAGCAAAATTACCCAGGGCCTGAAGAAACTACCACCTATGTCGAACGAATACAACAGACATTGTGTCGTTCTCAGTTAAAGTTCAAAATTTCATCGCAGCTATGCATGCCGTCGGCCGAGAAGAGTACATGCAAGGAATGCATATTTCAAATATTATTTTATCCAAGATGCCTACCGTACTAATATCAGAATGGTCCGATTATAGTTTTGCTATAATAAAGGAAGGAAATAATATAGCCCGATAGCTACGCTAACGCTTGCAACAGGTTCAAAGGAGTAGAAAAAAAGATGGTGGCGAACCCTGACTACGCCAAACGTTACTCTGAACGAGTGGATCACCTTTTACTTAATGATTTCGCTAAAGAGTCGACTGATATTCGGCGCACACGAACGTGATATTTACCACACTTTGGGGTCGATAATCCTAATAAAAAAAAGTTGCGTTTCGTTTTCGATGCAGCAGCGAAAAGTCACGGAAAATGTTTAAATGATTACCTATTGCAAGGTCCCGACTTACTCGCGTCCCTATTCGGCATTATGGTACGTTTTAGAGAGAATAGGGTCGCTGTAGCCGGGGACATTAAAGATATGTTCCTGAGAATTAAAATAAGGGACGAGGATCAAAATTCCCTTAGATTTTTGTGGAGACCTCGCCCCGAACAATCGGTCAAAACTTTTAACATGACTTCGCTCATATTCGGTGCTAATTGTTCCCCATTTATAGCACAGTACGTGAAAAACAGGAACGCGGAACGTTTCGTTTCGTCGCTGCCCGCTGCTACCGACGCTATCTGCAACCAGCACTACATGGACGACTATCTGGACAGTTTCCCGGACGAAGACACCGCGACGCAGATGGTAAGAGATATTATTTACATTCACAAAGAGGGCGGCTTCGAAATATGCAATTGGAATAGTAACAGTGTAGTAGTGTTGGACAGCATACCAAAAGAGACCTTAGGTACAGTGGCGGTAAGTCTCAAAATGGGTCAGCAGTGTGAAGGAGAACGAACGCTCGGTCTTATTTGGTTTCCCGCTAAAGACGAGCTGGGGTTTGATTTATCCTTCAAGCGCATTCCAGAGTACGTAGTGAACGGAGCACAAGTGCCTACTAAAAGGGTTATGCTGCGAGTAATTATGTCTATTTACGATATTTTTGGTTTCTTGTCGCCGTTCACAATACAAGGGAAAATAATGCTTCAAAATCTTTGGCGATCAAACATTGGCTGGGACGACGAGATTCCCAATAGCATTTTTAATAAATGGAAAACCTGGATCGATTTGCTAAAGGAATCTACGCATTCCTAGGTACTACCTAAGGCCTCTAGGTGCGAGCGAGACAGGTGATCGCATGGCAACGGACACAGCTGATATCGTAGCAGGTCAGTGCTCCCCCGCGCCCCGAGGCCCGCCTACGCCCGCGCAGCCCGCTACGGCCTCTACGCGACTGACCGGGAGCTACGAAACCGCACGAGCTACGAGTGCTACGACGTACAATAACACACAGCTGCATGTTTTTTGCGATGCATCTACTAAAGCGATGTGCGCCGTAGCTTATTGGCGGTGGACGTGCAATGGTAATGTGTTTGTTGCATTTATAGCGAGTAAATGTCGAGTTGCGCCGGTAAAACCACTGACTGTGCCGCGACTAGAATTGCAAGCCGCGCTTCTAGCGGCGAGACTCGCCGACACCATTATTAAGGAGCATAAGTTGAGCGTGTTACAGCGATTCTTTTGGAGTGACTCGACCACGGTTTTGCACTGGATTAATAATGACGCGAGAAATTATAAAACATTTGTAGCAAACCGGTTGGGCGAGATTGATGAGGTCACTAGTAGTAAAGAATGGCGATACGTGCCTCTACTGAATTAAATGTTGCGGATATAGCTACACGCGAAACCTACGACGACGCCACTTTTAAGAGTGTATGGTTGGGGGGCCCTACGTTTCTGCGTGACGATGAGTCATCGTGGCCGCGTCACGTCATTCGTCCTGTCACTGATGTCGAGACAACTGAATGTGTTAACCTGGTAACAAATGTGGTTACTACGGACATCCCTAGTGTCGAGCCTACTCCCGATCCGGAACGGTTTTCTTCGTGGCTGCGGTTGCTCAAAAGTACAGCCGCTGTTCTTATACCCCATTTACACTCTCGCGCTCGCGAGTCGAGTCGCGAGGCGAGCCACGAGGCGAGTCGCGAGGCGAGCCACGAGGCGCGAGTGTAAACGCTAGCTCGTGGCTCGCCTCGCAGCTCGCCTCGCCACTCGCGGCGCTCGCGTCGGAGGCGGTTTTTGGGCACGAGGCAAAGGGCCTCGCGAGGGACGCGAGCGTGGTGTTTACACTCGCGCTCTCGTTTCAGTTTGTTTACGGCGCCCTTCCGTGCAGGTTGTGTTGTTTTGTTGGGTTTACACGTTCAACTTCAATTAAAAATGGACTAGTCGCAAGAAGAAACGCTGCAGTTCTTGGAACTCTATCAGGCTGAGCGAATAATTTGGGATCCAAAACATATTATTTATTTTATTTATTTATTTATTTATTAGAAAACTACGGCATGATTACAATAGTAGTATACAACCTTTACTTAGTTTTAAATTAAAGCTAATTACAGTTTTCTTACTTAAAAATCATTACTTGACACTTAACATTGATGTTACATAAGCTTTTTGATGACGACGTGTTTAAAACCATATGTGGTCGAATTAAAGGGATCTATATCAGAAAATTTCGTGTTGTAATTATGTGGTATCCTAGACAAAACTGAGTTTGATAAATAACTGGTACGCGACAAAGGTACATGGAATAAACGTTAATTTGTGTGACGAGTGCGCTTTGAAGGTACATTAAGCGATATCATCGATAGCAGCTCCGGAGAATCTATTTGACCTGTGAGCAATTTATGCAAAAATAACATATCGAGCAACTCGCGTCGATCTCTTAATGGTAGAAGTCCGTATAAACGACAGCTATCTTCGTAGATAACACAATTTGGACTCATTTGGAAATTTAGGTATTTAATGAATTTTTTCTGGATGGATTCAATGGCATCAATATACTTTGCGTACTGTGGAGACCATACACAGCTCGCATATTCGAGTAAGCTTCTTACATATGCAAAGTAAATTATGCATAAAAATACCCAAAAAGTAAAAGATGCGTGGAATAGAATTTCCGAGGTTATGTGCAGACCGTTAGCAGAGCTCAAAGTAAAAAAGAATTCGCTTATGGCTACCTTTCGTCAACACCTACGAAGAAAAAAGCAATCTATGAAATCTTTGAAAAAATCTATGAAATTTTTTAATTTCCTTCTTTTTAAAATGGTCAAGCATCGATAAATATTTATTAAGGCAAGAGTTGATCCCTGGTATATAGTGTTTTATCTATGGTTGATGCCGCTATTATTTCGACGTCTTCCATCGTTGCTGGTTTAACGCAAACTGAACGCATCACGTGAGTGTAAACAGGCACTCGTTACCTCGCAACAACACGCGAGCTGCGAGGCGAGGTACGAGGCGAGGTGCGAGGCGAGAGTCTAAATGGGGTATTAGATTTATATGTAAGTGCAGGAAACGTACCGATGACGATTGGGAATTAATGGAACAGGCTAAACGTTTGCTGTTCCGGCGGGTACAGAGCGAGGCCTTCGGCACGGAAGTGAGCGCAATTAGAGCAGGTAAATGTTTGCCCCGCAGCAGTCGTATTCTCAACTTGTCACCTTATTTGGACGAGCACGGCGTCCTTCGTTGCGGCGGACGCATTGGTGCGGCACTTGATGTCTCTTCCGAGACAAAAAACCCGAGTATCCTCGACGGGTGGCATCGAGTGACGCGATTGTTGGTAAGACATTTCCACATAAAAGCTGCCCACGGAAACCAGGAGACAGTGGTAAATAACCTAAGGCAAAGGTACTGGATCATTACAATGAGACCCACTGTTAAACATGTAGCTGCCGGATGTATGATCTGCAGAATAAGGAAGGCGAAACCGGAAATGCCAGTGATGGGCGATTTACCTCCCGCTAGAGTGGCGCATCACCAGCGAGCTTTCACATACTGCGGTGTGGACCTATTTGGACCGATGGAGGTGGTGGTAGGGAGGAGAAGGGAAAAACGGTACGGTGTCATATTTACATGCCTTACAGTTCGGGCTATACACCTGGAGATCGTGCATTCCCTCACTACTGACTCACTAATTATGGCCCTTCGGCGTATGGCTGCCCGCCGAGGGTGGCCACGCTGCCTTTACTCCGATAACGGAACTAACATACGTGGCGCTGATGCGGAGCTACTGAAGTCGATCCAGGAACTTGACGACGAGACCCTGAAGAACGAGGCTGCTAACAATGGGACGCAATGGTCTTTTATCCCACCGGAAAGCCCCCATTGGGGGAGGGCGTGGGAGCGTTTAATACGTAGCGTTAAGGTATCTCTAGGGGCTATACTCAAAGAGCGTGTCCCCAAAGATGAAGTTCTCGCCACCTTTATGACTGAAGTCGAGAATATAGTCAACAGCCGCCCCCTTACTCACGTGTCTGTAGAACCTGGTAGCAACGAGTCGTTAACGCCAAACCATTTTCTGCTGGGTAAGAGCTCCAACTTACCTGCTGCAGGTGTCTTCGATGACTCTGACCTGTACCTACGAAAACAGTGGCGAAAGAGTCAACGCTTAGCTGATATGTATTGGCGCAGATGGGTAACAGAGTACCTACCAGAGCTGATACCTAGAAGGAAGTGGAATGAGGATCGCGAACCGCTAAAGGTAGGTGATCTCGTGCTGGTCGTGGACCCTGGAGCGCCACGCAACGTGTGGCAGAGGGCGATCGTGGAACAGGTGTTTCCAGGCAAGGACGGCCGGGTCAGGTTGGTTGAAATCAGAACCAAATCAGGGACGCTGAGACGTTCAGCGGCGCGCGTCGCTAGAATTCCTTTGTCTGAGTAGTGCTGAGCCAGCACTGGGGTGGGGTGTGTTAGCGACGTGCTCAAAAATCGTTATACAAATTTGTATTAGCTTAAGGTGGCGGGTATGAGGGCCCAATCATCTCATATGTTTTAAATATTATATTAAATTTTAAGGTAGAAATCGAACGGTGACGCAGTCAGTCAGCCTTTACTATCGCTCGCGACACACGTACCTTCGCTCTCTCTCATATGCTTTTGTTCGTGTACCTACGTTGTGTCATTTAAAATAAACGGTTTTAACGAATTTCTGCTTTTCAAGTTTCCTACCATTTTTATCGCGCCAGTGCACCCTTTACACTTTTGTTTATCTCTTTTATTTATTTATTTATTAGAAAACTACGGCATGATTACAATAATAGTATACAACCTTTACTTAGTTTTAAATTAAAGCTAATTACAGTTTTCTTACTTAAAAATCATAACTTAAGATTACGAGCTGAAAGAGTAATTTAAAAATATGGATATATATATATATATATATATATATATATATATATATATATATATATATATATATATATATATATAATGTGTGTGTAAAATGCTTTAGTATTATATAAATTAACATGCTATATTGATGTTACATAAGCTTTTTGATGAAGACGTGTTTAAAACTATATGTGGTCGAATTAAAGGGATCTATATCAGAAAATTTCGTGTTGTAATTATGTAGTATCCTAGACAGAACTGAGTTTGATGAATAACTGGTACGCGACAAAGGAGTGCGCTTTGAAGGTACATTAAGCGATATCATCGATCGATAGATCGATTATTTTTAATTCTAAACTGAAAACTCGTAAATGGCTTAATATTTATATTATTATACTTTTTTATTTAAAAAATAAGCAATGGCTGTAAATTTTCCGAATACGCATTGCTAGAATTTAAAAGAAATACAGTCTTTCCTATTACCTCTCTCTGTTCTTTGTGGGTGCTTTAATGATGATTAGTATAAATTTTAACTGTTAGAATAAACAGTAAGTATAAAAATTAATAAATTTGTTAAATACATAAAATTAACCATATTGAATAAAATTATCATATCCAATCCATTCATAACAATCCACGATTTCATAACTTCAGGCCATCTAGATTGTATTTTACGTTCCACCTTAAGATTCAATCAATTTTTGTTCGATAAAATAACTTTACCTATAGAATGCAGTACATGGCGTCATTACAAAGCAATTTTACTCATAAAAAATATTTTTTTGATTTATAACAATAAAATTTAGGCTGTTAGATGTCTAAAAGTAAGGATTGTAATATTTATTTGCAATAAAATTATGAACCTTGAACTTAAATTTTATGCCGCACTTGTGGTTCAAAATGATCATATTAAATAAATCAGTATTAAAATAATATTATTCATACTTTAGTTATGGTTACTACCACCACTTAGCCACTTGTGTCATTTGTTGAAATGTTGTATATTATATAGATTAAAAAGTAAAATTATTTTTTAAGCTGAGTAACAATATTGTATTAAATAAACCCTACATTTAACCTACTCCTGATACCCTGCATTCGTCTCATTCTCTAGAAGTTTAGTTTTCTGAAGATTTCACTTCTACTGCGGGTGGCCTGCACAGTGTGTATTACTTTCGCCATATAAAACGACTATTTAGCCAATCTATAGCAAGACGTCCCTTTTCTACCTTCATTCCTAATAGCCTGATTACATAGTAAAATCTTTCTCGGTCGAGACAGTGATGCAACCGAGTAGTTGTTCACACGTATTTTTGAAGTTGCGGCGAGACAGTCAGTCAGTTCAGTTTACTAGAACGTACAGGCGCGATGTATCGAAAAAAATTGATAAAAAAATCAATTAACTTGCTTATACCTTTGCTGGCAGAAGAACTGACAGAATTGTTAGGCTCACGAGAAATCTCACATTTGGAGAACCAGAAATATTAA